CTTCTACCCACTGTCACCTCACACACACAGCCTTAGACTGTTTAGAAGACCCGGAGGAATGGCTGCAAAGGCTACAGAATAGATAGGCACAGTTGCGTCCTTAGGACCTCCTGGATGGTAGGGAAGATGAGACAAGGCAGATACAGAACTGACAAGAATAGTGAGCAGACATGAATAAGGTCCTAAGAAACTAGGAGATAAGGGCCATGGGAATTCAGAAAGCATGAGATTATTGTGGCTCAGGGCAAAGAGGGAACTGGAAGGAAGAGGTGGTATTTGAATCAGAGTTTGGTATAAGAAGGGAAAACATTCCAGGCAGAGAATATGGCATGAACAGATGTTCAGAGGTCCCAAACCCCCAAACAACTCAGTCTGTTTGGCTACAGAACTGGATGGACAAGAAAGAATTGGAACACAACAGGGTAAAATGGGGACCATCCTCTACTCTCTGGCCCTATCAGTTCAGACAATGGAAGCCAGTTTCAGGAGGGTGCCCTTTACCCTGTAGGCAAAGGAAAATGCCTTTAGGTGGTTGACGCAGACTCTAACAGCTGGCAGTTCATACCCTGCCTTCCATATGCATGATGAGTTCTGTGTGAGGCCAGTTAAAAGCAGCAAAAACTTCCACAAATCTTGTGCCATCGTATCAAACCCAACACATGGCAACCCCATGTACTAAAGCAGAGAATTTCTCCTCAGGGTTTTCTTGGAGTAATCTTTACGGGAGCAGAGAGCCAGGCTTATCTTTTAGGCGTCAATGGTTGTATTCAAATCACCAATCTTATGGTTAGTTGTCATTGTTGTTGTTAAGTGCCACTGAGTTGGTTCCGACTCATAGCGACCCTGTACAGGGTTTCTGAGGAGCAGATGGTGGGTTTGAACTGACGAACTTGCAGTTCAAATTGACCTTGTGGTCCAGCATGCTATCCTAAAGTGCTCGATTAGTAGCTGAGCATAAACCATCTGTGCGACACTCAGGCCAGCTGATAGGCAGGAATTTCTAGGGAGCACCGTGGGTTATGTGGTGGGGGCACTTGGAATCCACCAGAAGCTCCTTGGAAGCCCTTTACAGGATCGCTATGAGTTGGAACTGGCTTGCGACCACTTAACAACAGTAACAAGCTGGCATGAGTAGCCACCCTTGGAAGAGGACAACAGTTGTGCTAGGAATGTTTTCATTTTGGTTTAAAATGTAGAAAGCATTAAAATTTGCTGTAGTCCACTTGACCTGGCCCAGGAAAGGATTTAACTTCTTATGTATGATAACACCAAGTTGCTTCAAGTTAGACAAAGCATTTGCACCAAAAGTAAATGGCATCTCTGTTCTCTTGAGAGGCTGAGACTGACAACCTCCATTCCTGGAGAGAGAGCCCATTACAGCACACCTGCTGCTGGTAGACAGGAATGGGGAGGGAGGGCTGGGTCCTGATCAAGGAGCCCACCCTGCTTGTTCAGATGTTGTCCAAACCCCAGTCCAGGATAGTCAGCAAGGGACGAATGCCATTCCAAGATCCCCTCCAACAGCCACCACAAGGGAGGTATCCAACCAGACCACCCCCCACCCTCACCCCATGAACTCATGAGCACAAGGCTACAGTAACCCTGTTCAGTAGCAGGAATGGGGACAGTATAGTGCTGAGGTTAGCAGTGTGGATTCAGGAGACCCAGAGGTAGGGCTTGGAATCATGGCTCCAGCCTTCAACTGGTCCTTATCCTCCAAGAGCTGAGTGGGCATCCCAATGGGGTGGGCTCTAGGCACCTGGGACTTTAAATGTAGTCATTCAAATAAAATGAAATGAAAAATTCAGACTCATTAGGCACATTTCAACTGCTCAATAGCCACATCTGGCTACTGGCTACCATACTTGGACAGAGTACATCAAGAATATTCCCATCATCACAGTACAATTGGAGATAATTCACTCAAGCGTTGCACAACTCTTCATCCTCATTTGTTGGTGGTGGTGGTGCTAGCTGGAATGAGTTGATTCCAACTCCTTGAGGACCCCACATGTGCAGAGTAGGAGGTTCAAGGCTGTGACCTTTCAGAAGCAGATCACCTGACCTGTCTCCCAAGGAGCCTCTGGGTGGGTTCTAACTGCCAACCTTTCAGTTTGCAAGTGCTTAACTGTTTATGCCACCAAGGGACTGCTTCCACATCTGTAACACCAGCATTACAATGGAATCTACTTCACAGAATAGGGTTAAATGGGATAACTTAATCGCCATGGGGCCTGGAACACAGGAAGCACTCACTAATGGTAACTACTCGTGGGTTAGTCTGCTCTTTCGTCCACATGAAGTTTATCAGCTTCCGGTGTGATTACTTCTACCTGTGGGTTAATGAGCTCGACTGCAAGGTCGGTTTGAACGGCAAGGTCAGCAGTTCAAGTTCACCCGTCGCTCCTCAGAAATCCTATACAAGTCGCTATGAATCGGAACCAACTCAGCAGTACTTAGCAACAGCAACAGCAGCCAGATGCTCAGTAAAGGCTGGCCTTGCGCTGACTCTATATTAATTCACTTTCTAGGTGTCTGTTTTCCTATCTGTAAAATGGGAATATCAACACCTGTCATATATCCACTGCTCAAATAAGGGAGGGATGTGAAAGGATTTGAAAAAAGTATCTGGCACTCTCTAAACAGAAGAGAATGCTCAGCGAGAGATGAAGCCCCTGGCACGGGATCGGCACTCAATAAACCCTATGGGATGGATGCAGACAGCAGGCAAGAATGCTGATTTTCCATTAAGCATGCTTCTCACACTCCCAAACCACCCTTTTGGGAGTTATTTAGTGGGGTGGAGGCACCAAGGGCTGGGTGGGGCTTCGGGAGTTGGTGATGTCCAGACCCTGCCCACAAAGACCCTGCCTCAAACTTTAGCCACATCCTCGCTATCCATTCCCTGGTTTCCATGGTTCCCAACACTGGAATTGAGATCAGTGGGCTCTCAAATGCAAGCCCTGTTTGGGTGGGCACCCCAAGAAGGCACTGGGCAACCGGCCCTGGTTACCATGGCACTGGAAGGGGAGGCAGTAAAAAGCAAGAAGAGGACACCACAAACTCCCACCCACAGCTACCTCCCCTAGTCTTGGACCCCTCCCTCCCCAAATGTCCATGCCACCAACTAGTCCCGCCTACTCGCGCTGCTCTCTGGCTCCACTGGCCCCTGTCCAACCATTCTGGACCAAACAGAGCCTTTTAGGGTAAGGAACAGAGTCTGGCTGAATTTGGCTGTGTGTGTCTGCCCCTCAGGCCCTGAGGCCCCTGAGCCTGATTTATAGAGGCTGTGCAGCAGCTACAATGCCTGGTGAAACTGACTAATGCCACGGAGCCTTTCTGGCTCCCCATAGTGGACCAAGCATAGAGATGCGTGAAAGACTGGGGGCACAAGAGCTGGGAATTATGGAGGGGCTGGGGACCTTGCCAGGGCAGGGGTGGAGTCCCCGAGGAGCACAGAGTCTAAAGAAAGAGCAGAAAAGGAAAACATCGCCCCTTAATAACGTTAACAACCAACATTTGTCTACAGCTTTGCAGTTCATAAAGCATGCTCACACGTTCGCCTTCATCCGTGAGGACGGTATAATTATCTCTGGTTTACAAATGAGGAAGCTGAAGTGTAGGGAGCTCCTCCCTGCAAACACAGAACTCCCAGCCAAGTGCTGACAGCTGCCTCAGTCCCAATCCTCCTTCCTAACCTTAAAAGGCTCCCAAGTAACTCTGTGCCAGCACTGGGGCACTCCCCCACACCCCACCCCTGGCCAAATCTCAGCCCAAGCCAGGTATCGACTGGAACCCTGGAACTAGGCCTGGGCCCCTGAAGGGGAGCCGGGAGCTGAGTCAGAGGTCAGATCTCAAAGGTGATGGAAGGACGGAGCATGCCACGGCAGGGCACAAGGAGAAGGAGGCAGCCTGGAGGAAGATGAAGGTCTGCTACTCCTCCAAACCATCAGGGCACAATCAAATGGATTTAAGTTAGGACTGAGATTTGGATCAGACACCACGAAGAGCTCCCTCATCCGAAAGGGGCCGAGGCCCTGACACCAAAGCAGACAACTCCCATTATCCGGTCTCCGGAGGTGCTGAGTGGAAGGAAGGGACAGTACAGTTTGTGCTGTCCCTCTCTGCCATGTCCTACCCATCCCCATGCCAGTCCAAGTCCCAGCCTTCTCCAGGGCCCAGTAAATACTCAGCTTCTCCAGGAACACTTCCTTGATGTATCTCCCTTCTAACCTCCCGGACCACAGCTCCACTGCACCTGGCACTGACTTCCTCTGCCTGGCATGGTCCTCTGACGTGGATTTGGTCACTCCACTGTGATAACCTTGAGCGATGAGTCTGTGTCTTTCCCAGTGAGCCCCCCACCCCACCCATGGCCCAGGTCCAGCCACCTGAAAGAGTCGAAGTAGCCATGCTAACGGATACGAGTCCAGCCCTGCTCTGAACCAGAAAGAAAGAAAGGAAGTAGTCCAACACCAAGTAAGGGCTTTCCTAAAAATAGAAAGCACGGCAGCCTCAGTCACCACCATCTCCTGAGAGCTGCTGTCAGCGGCACCCTTTTCAGGGCTTCAGGCTTAACAGAAGGAGCAGGGGAGGGCTGACAGCAGGGTGGGCTTGGCCCACAGAGGAAATGACCCCAGAATGCGCCTGGTGGTTCGTAAGTGCTGCCAGCTGAGAGATCTTTTCCCAGAGACTCAAGGACAATGTGCTCTCCTCACAGGACCCCAGCATGGAAATGCCATGGAGGACAGCACTCAGAGAATGGAGCTGAGCAAACCTCACTGACTTCACAATCAGCCCGCCTGGTATCTGCTCTGAGGCCATTTAAAATACCTTCACCAGAGCAGCCAGCCTATGTATGGTCTACGATTACGAGGGCAGACTACAGCCAGGCTGAGAGCCTGAGGTCTAGGCTGGGAGAGGCGAGGGAGCTGGACCTCAGCATCACCGGGGAGGGTAACTGCTCCCACCACCCCACCCAGGCTCCATGGGTTCCCTACCAGGTCTCACAGCCAGTGTGGCCGCACAGCTGGCCTGGCCCAGCTCGTTGGTGGCTGTGGCCATGTAGCTCCCAGCGTCGGCTGCCCGGGCCTCCCTGAGCAGTAGGGTATGCCTCTCGCCTTCTGCCCGGATGAGAAGGCGGCCATCAGTTCGCAGGGCTGACCCATCCTTCTGCCAGGACACTGTGAGAGAAGCAGCTGGTCACCGCTCACAGGGGTCCTCTGGGGACAGTCTCCCCTACACACACACACACACACACACACACACACACACACACACACACACGGCTAGTCCCCACACACTGACTAACTGCCCCTCCTCCCCTCCCTGTCCCTCAGAGGATGCTAGGGATAATGAGGAATGATGAGTTTTCCCTCTCTGCCTTGCATGTCTTCCCACCCTGACCTCGGCCTGGCCTCAGACCTGGAGCTCACCTTGGGCCAGGGGGTTGGCGGTGATGATGCATTTGAGCAGCACATCTTCCCCTGGTGCCACGGCCACATTCTGCAGGGGGATCTCAAACACAGGGGCCTCCAGGGGCTCTTCTCCAGCAGATACATAGGAGTCATCTGAAGACTCTGACAGAGACACAGGTGAGAGAGTAAGACAATACGGTTCATGGGGATGACAGGAGGGGGGGTGCTGGTAGCACCCCCATCCTAGAGAGCAAACTCTAGAGGGTGGGGGAAGGAGGGGTTTCTCCTGAATGTCTTGTGACAGAGACAGTGGTTACCAGGCTTGGCTGGTTAGAACCCACCAGCCTCTCTTGAGGGAGAAAGATGTGGCAGCCTGCTTCCTAACGACTTACAGGCTTGGAAACCCTAAAAGGCAGTTAGTTCGACTCTGTTCCATGTAGTTGCTATGAGTAGGAATCGATTTCATCGATTTGTTTAAGGTTTTTTCCCCCCTTTCCAGTGTAAGGTAACTCTGAGGGTCACAAGATCTTAACAAGCTTCCAAAGCTTACAATCTGAGAAAAAAAGACAAGAGGATAAGCTAATAGCAACTCAAGGTTTAAGCAGCAATAGTGGTGTCACAAGGCAACATGTGGTGGACTATCAAATTTGTGATGTGGACTAGACGTCACTGGATTCAAAAGGAGGAGCAAGTGGGTTACACAGCAGCTGAGCAGCCTTATGAATACCAGCTTAGATTTCCTTCACTCCTTCAATAGCAACAGTGCATTAACTGTAAGCATTTAATGAGGTGGGCACCGGGAAGATGACATAGGAAGGCAGACACAGTCCCCGCACATACACCCAGGGAGATAATAAAACTCCACCGTCCTGGATCCCTGGCACTTGCCAACTCTGACGTTCCATAAGTTAGAAAAATGGTTAGTGTCGTTAGCAAAAAGCAGTGAGCACCCAAATTCTGCCACTTCCTAGCTATGCGATCTTGGGCAAACTTGATAATCTCTCCAAACCTCAATTCTGTTATCTGTAAAATGGAGTCAAATAATGCCAGTTGGCATTATTGTAGTCTTTAAAGAGCTAAGATCATAGTCTTTAAGGAGCAAAGAAGTCACTTTGAGGACTAGGGTGTATCTGACCCAAGTCATGGTATTTTCAATAGCCTTATGTGCATTCGAAAGCTGGGCAATGAATAAGGACGACTGGAGAAGAGTTGATACATTTAAATTAAGATGTTGGCAAAGACTATTAAATAAGCCACGGTCTGCCAGAAGAAAGAATAAATCTGTGTTGAAAGAAGTACAGCCAATATGCTCTTTAGAAACAAGAATGGTGAGACTTCATCTCACATACTTTGGATGTTATCAGAAGAGACATCATGATTAGTAAAACAAATCACAGTGAAAAGCAGGAAGACTCTCAATGAGATGAACTGACACAGAGGGTGGTGCAAAAATGGGTTCAAACACGGTAATGACTGGGCAGTGTTTCCTTCTACTGAACTATAAAGGTCACTGAGTCAGAACCAACTTGATGGCACTTAAGAGCAACAATGGCGCCTAACAGCAATACGGTTTGCCGTTCAAGCTCACCAGCCACTCATTGGAAACCCTATACAGGGTCAGTATGAGTGGGAAACAACTCAATAGCACTTAACAACAACAGCAACAGATAATAGGATGATGGACAGGGGCCTAAACATCCCTACGATTTTTAAGTGCTAATACTTAAAAGAAACAAAATAATTTTAATGAAAAAAATAAAGGTGGTATGAAGTACAATGGAAGCCATAAGGACAGTGTCTCAGGGGAGCAGTGGGTGGTGGCATCTAGCCTAGGAAGCAGCAGGAGGTGGGGCCTTGTCAGGGATGACTGCCTTTGCCTCTCACGGAGGTGGTCCCAAGTTGAATGTTGCAGATGAGCACAACTTGGTAAGGAACAGGAGTATTCTGGCTGTTGGACAACACCCATGGGAAGGTTGGTTGATGATACGCAGGCTGGCATGTATAGGGACCAGGCATGCAGGGCCACAAGGATGGGGGAGAAAAGACTAGAGGGAGAAACTGCGCTAGGTCTTAGTGGTCAAGGATAGGCCACGGGGTGGCTGGGTATGGGAAGGGTCTCCCAGGGCAGAGTGGCGGATCTCAAGCTTGCCTATAACAGAGGCCTGACGAATAAACGAGTTATTATCTTTTTTGTCACAGGAGTGGGGGTATGGAGGGACTCCTTAGGTTTCCAACAGTGCCTCTCTCTCCTACACTTGGTCCTTGGCCCAACAGTCTAGCAGGCCACTGGACCCAGGGGACCTGTGGCAAGTATCTGGATACAGTCTTTGCTCACACCTCAGTCCTACCCCACCTCCATCAAAACATACTGAAGGCTTCCTGACCAGTAGATAAATTCTAACTCAATTATCACTCAAAGTGGCCCCTGTGTCTAGGCCTTCCCGGATAAACTTCATCCTCAGCCAGAGGGGTACACCTCCAGCGCAGTTTTGGCTCTGGGACCACCCTCCCTATGACAGTAGGGAGTCCCTTACCGAGTTCAGGTGAGGTGGGCCGGGCCCTGCGACCTTTGCCATGGCTGCGGGCCCCTCTGCGGTCCCAAGCCCCCCAGGGCCCATCCTCCTCCGGCCCTCTGCGCAACCTCTTTTCGGCCTCAGGCCCCACCCTGTTCTTCTCTGAGGGCTGGGGCGCTGCAATGTCCTCCTGGCCCGGCGTGGCCCAAGGCAGAAAGCGCACGGCCTGTGCCGGTGGTTCCCGCTTCCGACCCGAGGGGGTTTTCGTCCTGGCCTCAGGGGGCTCAGCAGCAGGTGGCACGGGGCTCCGAGACTCTTGGATGGCTCGGCCCCGAGTCAGCGGGAACTGCTCCCGGCGCCTAACTTCCTGCTGAGGCCCTTCCCCTGGCTCCGTCCTAGGCCCGCGACTCCGGGGCCTCGCTGGTTCATCCCCTGGCCTGCCCGCGACGCTGGGAAGGGGGACCGGGGCGGTGACGGGGCTCTGGGCGCGGGGGGTTTTGGGCGTGGAGGGCTGAGAGAAGAGCGGGGGCTCTCCGGGCTCTCGTGGGGACGGGGCGCGCTGCAGCGTAGCTCGCAGGGACTCATGTGAGCGCACCAGCTCCTCCCGAGAAGCCGAGCGGCGGATGCGGCCCAGCTCCTGGGCAAAGCGCAGCTCAAGTTCCGAGGCCGGGCTGCGCAGCCGCGTGCGCTCATCCAACGAGGCTGCCTTCTGCTGAAACAAGCGGCGCCGCTCGGCCACGCTGCCCGACCGGGCCCGCAGCTCCTCCTGCGAGGCCCCGGGGCTGCCCCACGGTGCGCCGCCCTCGGATTTGGGCTGTTCGAGCGAGCGGGCCTTGCGCAGGGGCACCCAGGGCCTCAGTGGAGCGGGCGGTGAGTCGCTGCGCTCCAGGCTGCGCCGGCGTTCTTCGAAGAACTGCAGCTTGTCCAGGATGCGGGACCCGGCACGCACGAGTCTCGGCGAGCGGCCCAGTGCAGACAGGCGGCCCGAGGCCTCGCTCAGGGGCGTCTGCGGCCGGGACTCCGACGTGCCCGCCAGCGAGGGCCCTGACGACTTGGACTTTCTCCCGCGCTTCTCTTCGGCGGTCAAGTCCTCAGGCAGCACAGGCTCCTGGGTGCGACGATGGGGTGATGTGGGGCGCGCTGGGGACTGGGCGCTGGATCCTGGCGGCGGCCGTTTTCCCACCCGAGGGGACGGCGGGGGGAGCAGTGCGGACTTGGAAGGGGGCGGTTGGGCTGGGCGACGTGGGGCTTCGCTGGCCAGCTGAGGCTGAAGGTCTGGCTCCTCTCTGCGAAATCCACTCGGAGGAACGCTGCTGCACAATTAAGATGAGGGAGAAGATTTAAGGAGACTCCCCTCTTAGAACCTCAGCTCGTGACAGGAACTGAGCAGTGGGGCATGCTGGGCAGGCTTGGGGGTGACATGGGCCAGACCCTTCCCTCCCCCAGAGAGCACAGCCAGAGCAGGTGCTGGGGAGAGAGAGGCTGGTGGCTCTGGCACCAGAAGTTTGGGCTAGCACTGGGTCCAGGTAAAGACTCAGTTCCAGGGGCTCTGGCCAGCCCCCTCCCCCCAGCCCCAGAAGCTGGGAAATAGCAGAAACAGAACTGAGCATGAGGGAAAGAAAAGAATGAGGCTTGGACCCAATGGAGGAAGTGGAGAGGAACGCATAGGATGAGGAGGGGCCCTCTCAGGAGTGCAGCCTCCCACTCATTCTTGCCCCCAGCTGGCCCCACATCTCATTCACGATGGCTCTCCCCATCAGACCCCGGCCTTCAGGGAGGAACACCTATCCCTGTGATTGTCGATTCAGACCCCTGAGCTGTCCCTAACACCATCACCAGCATGAGTAGGACCCAGCAGATGGCACTGGAGTCTCCAGGTGCAGGGGGTTCTAAGATACCCAGTTTCCCATTCCCTATGACCCATCTTAAGGGGCTCTGGTAGTGTAGTGGTTACGAATTGGGTTGCTAATCTCACAGTCAGCAGTTCGAAACTACCAGCCCCTCCGCGGGAGAAAGATGAGGTTTTCTGCTCCTGTAAAGATTTCCAGCCTGGGAAACCCTGTACAGGGTCGCTATGAGTTGGAACCGACTCCACAGCACATAACAACAACAAATGACCCATCTAAGGAGCCATAGTGGCACAGTGGTTAAGCGCTAGGCTGCTAATCAAAAGGTCAGCAGGTTGAACCCATCAGGTAATTGTGGGAGAATTGTGCTTTTGTAACTATTACAGCCTTGGAAACCTTATGGCACACTTCTACTATGTCCTAGAGGGTCACTCTGAGTCAGAATTGACTATGACAATGAGGATTTTGGTTTATGGTCACTCTGCCCCAGAACAGGCCTTTGACCCTTGTCCTGCCTGAGGGAAAGGTACCCTGTGTCTTGGAAACCTCCTTGAAAAGAAAGGAAGCCCCCTGAAAGGGGTCTGCTCAGAAATTACCAAATGGGGCATAAAAGGAGGAAGGAAGGAGCTGGTCAGCCCAGATGACTCCTCTTACCTCTAGATGCCCAAAAGCTAGGCCTCAGTTTCCCCTATCTGGCTCCATGAGGGGCATATTAAGCATAAAGATTAGTAAGAAAAATATTCTGAAAGCTATTAACACCATACCTGGAACAGTAGAGGAAGCGTAATAAAAATTTGTGAAATGGCTCAAGTGTGTGCCAGGCACATTTTAACTGTTTTAGGTGCATTGTGTCATTTAATCCTCACAACAATCTTTTGAAATCAGAACACTATGTATGATTCCATCTACAGATGAAGAAACGAAAGCTTAAGAAGGTTAAGTGCCTTGCCAAGGTGACCCAGCTAGGAAATGGTTGATGCTAGCTAACATTAAATCTAGCTAGTCTGACTCCTGAGCCCTTCCTCCTTGTTTCCTCCAAACTGTCTGGGATTCTGGGGGTGCCGAGGGAGGAGAAGCAGGGTATTGCCTGTGAGCAGAAATTCCAAGGATGTTTGAGTGTAACTATATTTTAGCCTATCTGGGTCAGCCCCTCACGTCTTCGCAAACCCTAACTTTGACTGGAGCAAAGGATGGCAACACAGAGGAGCTGAAGAGAACAAAACCTCAGCCAACTGTCTGCAGGGGGCAGTCTGGGGGAGGGGCAGGAATGGGGTGAAGTGTGGAGAGAAACTGGGTACAGTATAGGAGGACTCTTGCTGGCAGCTCCAAGCTCTAGGCCAGCCTCTGTACCACAGATATCACTAAGGAAATGGGTTCCTCCGAAGTTGCCATAGCAACTCGGAGCCCTAGCTGGGGCCTGGTAAAGACAAGCAGGGAAGGAAAAGGCAAATGCGGAGCACAGGGGCTCCTAGTTAATGCCAACATGATAGGAAAGGGCGCCTCCCTAAGCCATACGCCTGGACCTCTCCCCTGCCCATCCCTGGCCACTCCATCCATGCTCAAAACAGCTCCCCTACAAGGTAGGTCCCTTCTTTTTTCATGATGGTACCTCCCACACATACCCATACTCCTCCCCAAATCAGGCCCCTTGGAACTCCCCAAGTACCCCCGATACCTCTGTCATCAACCACTCCCTCTTCTGCTACAGCGCTCCCTCCTGCTATCTGTCAGCCCCCAAACCTCCAAAAATGGCTCCAATGCGTCACTCCACTGCTGCTCTATACCACCCCTGCCAGGACAATCTTCAACCCCACCTTCGGGCGTTTCCCACAAGGGCTTCCCTTGCCCCCTGCCTCCATCTCTCAGAGCCTTCTACCTCCACCCACTCCCCCTAATCTCCACCCCCACCCTTCCCCAGTTCCCTACCCTCTCCCCACCATACCCCATAACCTCCTCCTGCTTCCCGGCCCTTGCCCTATCTGCCCCCTGACCACCTCGCTCTCTTCTCTCTCCTGGTTGCTCTCCTGCTCTCCCGGGAGCTGCCGTGCAGAAAGGTTCCGTTCCTCCCCGAAAAAGGCCCACATGGGAACAGGAATGTGCCGAGATGAAGAGGCAGCAGCTGCTAAGACAGCAGGCACGGAGGGGGCCCCCCTGAGGGGAGGGGTTCCTGGGGACAACTGGAGCCTGAACGGGCGAGGCAGGAGAGGGCCCCTGGGAAACTGGAGAGCTTTGAGAAGGAGGAAGGACAGAGGGGTCCACGAGACAGTGAAGATGGCAGGGTGAGCCAGGACAGGTGGGAGCGGGAGGATGTGGGTGGTGATGAAGCAGTGTGGGAAGACATAGTGGAAGCTGTGGGGGTGGAGAGTGCACAGAGGGAAGCATGTGGGGGTCCGGGCAGTGCAGGGCAGATGGGGGGTAGGAGGCCAATGGAGCAGTGAGGGCCAGTGCAGGACAGCATGGTGAGGTGGGACAGTGCAGGCCAGAGCAAGGCCGTTACTTACACGTGGATCGAGAGCGCCCGTCCTCTGTACAGACTGAAGGCGCTGCCGTACAGGTCACTGGCCACCGAAAGGCTATCCTCTGACCCCCAGCTTGCGCCCACCAGATTAGCTCGAGATGCCCGCACCAGCGGCTCCACCCCCAGGTGCCGTGGCCCGGCCCCGGCTGCCTGTGCTTGCCTTGGGCTGCCCGCTTCCTGCTCCAGGACCGTCTGCCCGCTGCCCCACCAGCTCACTTGCTCCTCAGAGGTTCCTGTCACGGAGGTCGGGGGTGTGTCCAGGGAGGTGCCCACCAGCGTGTCAGAGCCCCCTAGGGAGAGGAGCACCATAAGGCCAAGGCACCTCTTGTGGGCAGCCCACCTGCCTGTTCACTGAGCATCCCAGATAGCTCACCTGTGGGGGTGCTGAAGGCCCCGTCCTCCCGAAGCTCCAGACGCTGGGTCCCCTGCACATCGCTGATGTCATCCTCACCCGTCTCCGAGTCTGGAGAAGAAGGGGTCTGTGTGGGCTGGGCCTGCTTCCTCAGATGCCAACTCTTCCCGCTGTTGCCTCCGGCCTCCCCCACACAGGCTCTGTCTTATCACTGGTAGGGCTCCCAGCCCCCTGTCTCCTTCCTTCATTTGCTCTCCACACCCCCCTGCCCTCCTGGGCCACCAGGCCAGTACCCTGACTTCATCTCTGGCCTCCTAGCCATTCACCCTTACTCTGGCACCCTCGAGGTCACTGTCCCCCTGCCCAACCACATAATGGATTACCAGAGCCTCCTCCCACCCACCTCTGTGATTCCTTGGTCAGTGGTGCCTTAAGTCCCCATGTGGCCCCCAGATAACAAGTTCCTAGGTTCCAAGGGCCTACATTCTGGGTTCCAGTACCCCAGGAACAAAGGGCAGTCACCTTGGAGTCGTACTGTCAGGGCACTCCACCAGCCGCTGGGCCAGCCTGTCCTCAACCCCACACCAGCTGGAATGTATCAGGGTACAGCTGAGGTAGGGTGAGGAGAGGCCAGGGCCAGGCAGGGGAGAAGGGAGTGGAGGGCTAGGGCCAGAGTCAGTTTCCTACCGTAACTTTGCTTTCTGCAGGAGCGGAAAACTTCGCTTCCATAGGAGCAGCAGGAGAGAGACATGGACAGACTGTTATCAGAGCATTTTGGGGGTAGGGCATAGTGGGCAGGCAGGACAAAGGGAGTGTGAAGGTACCCAGTGTTCAGAGATGTCCTACAGGGATGCAGGTGGGGGTGGGGGGTACCTGGGATGGACAAGGTGTCATTTAGTCTCTAACTGCTTGTAGGCTTCCCCTGTATGCAGCACTAGGAGCCCACATGCCATGGTTAGTTAGTCCACCTGCCCCAGCGATCTTGGTACCTAGGGTCCTTCCTGTTGTTCACATAACCCCACACATGTGTACACACACAAACACACACACACTCTTGCTAGTGCCAGCCCAGCCCTCCCGTTAGGTTCCAGGCCCATCCTCTGTTACCATCTTTGCATTGCATTCTAACTCCTTGCAAAGCAAATACCCCATCTGCCTGCATCCTGATGTAGCAGGCACCCTCCTCAGAGTCCCTCTCTGCTGCTCAATGGTCCTCACACATGCCCAGGGCATAGACTAGGAGCAAAGTTCCCTGGGTGTCTTTTCTACTCTCCTGGCATCTGTCAGGTTCTGTGCCTCAGTTTCCCTATGGGTGCCATGATGAGCAGGAGCTACAGCAAGGCAGTGAGCCCCTTTCCCCTTGGCCCCTCATATCGTGAACAGTGAGTCCAGGCTCATGGTGGGGCTGGCTAGTGACTTCCCCTCCCCCATCGCTAAGTCCTCTCTGAACAGTAGGACTCAGGGGCTTCTCTGGGGGTTGGTAGGTGCCTGTGTGTGAGGGGAGGGGGCCCACATCTCATGAGCTATCTTCAGGGTCTTCATGCCTCATCAAGGGACAAGGACCAAATGGGCATGGGCTAGCAAAGGGACGGTCGGGGTCCACGCACCATGGGTGAGTCGGCCAAAAGCCCGGCGGGAGTGGCCGGTTTTCTGAAAGAGAAAACCCAGAATGAATTGTTGAGAGGGAAGACTCATCCTGGTTGTCCCTGCACCTCCTATCCACACTTGCTATATCAAACATTAGAGATTAGTAAAGGGAGGATGGATAGAAACCCAGGGCATTAGAATCCCCAATGGAGAATGTCTCCAGTCTCCCTGCCCATTCAGCTCTCAGAGTTGGGCTAGGCTACTCAGCAGGGGAGGAAGGGGAGAGCAAGGGGCTCAGAGGCTGACATGGCTAGGACAGGGCAACACCCCCAGTGAGGGGATTAGAGACCAGGCAGTTAGGATGCTAGGAAGGAAAGGATTGGGGCGAGGGGTATTTGAGATGACTAGGAGATGCAGGAAAGAGGACACAGATTGGGGGGGGGGGGGCACGGAGGGGACACCTGGGAGAAGTGTCAAGAGGGCAGGGGTGAAGTGATGGGGACAGAGAGGGGACAGTGGCTCCCAAAGGGACAGTCTCACAGATGTAGGAAGGAGACATCAGTTCTTGGAGGACAGGGCAGGGCTTGGGGAATTTCCCGAGCTCAGCACAGATTCGGGTGCGTTGCTTACAGGAGCTTGGGAAGATGGAAGGCTCCAGAGTTGGGGGCTGGGGCAAGTCCAGCGGGGAGGGGGTGGTACTGGGGCCGGGGTTGGGCAGAGAGACAAGGAAAGATGAGGCAGCCAGGAGCCAATGTTCACTCCACTGCCAAGGGCTGCAGAGAGGGTCTCCTCGGTGGTCTCGGGGACTGCAGGTGTGTGTGGGGGGTCTGCCCTGCACTGCAGGGAGGGCCTGCGTGCTCAGGACGCAGTGCTGGGGGCGGTGGTCCGGGAACGCGCCAGGCCTTCGGCCCGGAGGGGCTAGGGTGGGGCCAGCGCGGCTTCCCGAGCCCCCTCCCCGGGCCCAGCGGGTGACCCGCCCTCCCCCCAGGCGCCAGGCCCTCCCGGCCCCTCCCGGTGCCGCCCGCCCCCGGAGCCCTCACCTGGAAACGCTTCTTCACCCACAGCTTCTTCATGGCGGGGGAGGGGG